AAACCTGTATAAAAGCCTTCAGACTGTGGACAGAAGTTGAACTTTCTGAAAGATTTCAGAGAAACGTTCATTTAGATCAAACAGCCTTTAAGGAGACGTTCTGTGTTGAACATCTGGACTCACACAGAGATGAATGAACTCCTACATGTGTGTTTGTGATGTTTTCTTTACGTTATTCTGGAAGCAGAACACATGAACAACATCTGGACTTCAGTGGTTAAAGTACAGCAGCAGAAGCAGCTCCTGAGCTCCAGATCCACCAGCCTTTAGACCATCTCTATAGTGTGTAACGCTGTGTTGTCCTCCCGTCAGATGTTTGTGCGTCTGTTCGTGGACGAGAACTTGGACCGGATGGTTCCCATCTCCAAGCAGCCCAAGGAGAAGATCCAGGCCATCATCGAGTCCTGCAGCAGACAGTTCCCCGAGTTCCAGGAGCGAGCTCGCAAACGCATCCGCACCTACCTCAAGTCCTGCCGGCGCATGAAGAAGAACGGCATGGAGGTACAGTAGCGCCCCCTGCTGGGGCCCACGCAGTTAATAGATATGTTTATTTTTCAAAACCAGCCAGAATCAGCCCATTGACCAAAGCCAGGAGCTGTAGAAACAGAAACAACACTCAGATTTCCAACGTTCTGGGAGTCCCTTAATGAAGCTCCTGTGATGTTTGGTTCCATCTGAGCTTCAGCAGATTGAACCAGATCCTGTAGAGAACCAAAAACCTGACGTCCTTCAAGTAGCTGAGAAGTATTTCCTGTGACTGAAGTCTGCGGCTCATTATTACCTTCGTTATCAGTTTATTGTAAAGATTATTCTTTTTTTATTCCCATTAACCGTATGAGCTCCAAGCAGCAGCTTCCACAGTGAAACGTGGGTAAAGTGGAAGGTTCTGGTTTCTACAGGATCAGTTTGGTGCACATGCTTCGTTTTTATCACATACTTTAACGGGAAAAGGATCCTGATAACGTCACCAAATCAGCGCCTGAAAGTCTCTCAGGATTTTAAGATTTGATCAACATTTAAAGTGTAGATCTGGTTTATTTTCCAGCTGAGCTAAACGTCGGACATCTCTCCCTCTCACTGTGTATCTCTGACTAACTATGGGATGTGTTTTTATGCTTTTCAACGGAGCTCAGAGAGTTAATTATCATAAAATAACGATCCAGGATCCAAAGACGTCCGCTGTAGTTGTGCCGAGAAGGTTTTTGCATCAAGATGGAAGCAAAGAAGAGATGATTTTTATGGACTAAAGCTTCTAAATGTGAAGTTTTTAGGAGTTAAATCAACAGCTGGAGACGAACTTTAATGGAATAAAATCGTAGTGAGTGTGTTACTGATCTGGTCTGATCTAATCTGGTCTGGTCTGATCTGGAGTTAAATGACTCGAGTCCTGACGGCTGCTCTCAGAGGCTTTTATTCTGACGGGACATACTTCCTCCTTCAGCAGCGACACGAAGAGAAAAAAACACTTTTATAAACCTTTAAACTCTGAACTGTGGAGCTCGGTGGTCTGAGCGGAGGTTTGTCAGCCGGTTTAAAAACAATAAAACCATAAAAAGAACCAATAAAGAGAATCAGAAGCGTTGAGTTCTGGTTTAAAAACAAAATCACTACAAACTGATACCATTGTCCTGATTAATAAAACACTGATTGATTAATTAATTACTCTTATTGTCTATGAACTAAAACACTAATGAGTGCAACGACATTTTTAAGTTTTATTCAACTTGTGTTTGTGGAACTCCGTCTCAATAATGTGGAAACACACGTTTAATAATCAGCTGATAAACGTGATTACTGCTGATCGTTAAATAACGGTGGTTAAAATCCGTATCTGCTGACTCAGCAGTTTGTTGGTTGGCGCTGATGTCACCAGAAGTCGCCGTAGATTAAAAAGTTTGATGAAACCTGTTGATTCTTCTCGCTGCTGCTGCAGTTCGTCACATCTTAATGAAACCTGTCCAAACATTCGTTAACTGAGTTGTTCTAATAAAGGAAACGATTTGAGGGTTTAGTGATCTTCAGACGATGAGGCTGCAGCTGGACTGTAACCATGGAGACGACGTGTGCATCTCAGAGGTCTGATGCTCTGAAGGCTGCAGCTTCTCCTGCTGCTGCTGCTGCTGCAGGTTAACGCAGCAACGAACTCAAAGTGACGGCAGGACGCTGTTAATGCGCCTTCCAGCTGCAGGGGGCGCCGAGCGACGCAGCTAATCGATGCACCGCCGTCTGCTCGGCTAATTAAAAAGCAATTACAGCGTGTAACAGAGGTGCTCGTGCTGTCACGAACGCTTCCTGATGGAGGTGATGGAGGTGACGGAGGTGATGGAAGTGACGGAGGTGATGGAGGTGATGGAGGTGATGGAGGTGACGGAGGTGACGGAGGTGATGGCGGTGATGGAGGCTCCTCGCCATCTTCTCCTCATCTGGGAACAATCACCATTAAAAGCTCAGTCTGCAGGAACAAAGTCCGGCTTCATGCCTTCGGTGATAAACGTGGACTCTGAGCAGCAACAGGCGGTTTTCCTTCTCTGACTCTGAACCTGAACGTGAGTCAGTGATGTGTCTCTGCTGCCCCCCAGTGGACGTCCATGATGCTGCACCATCAGATAAAACACAGCTGGACTTCACAGGGACGCTCTTCTGCTTTCATTGGTTGATTTAAAGCAGCAGATGCTGAACTAAAGGTCCTCTAACAGAAGAAACAACGTCAGGGTTTAAAGTTTAGCTAAAAAGTTTGACTATTAAGGTTTAAATGAGTCTTCCTGCCTAAATAAAATGTTAACTTTCCAAACTTTAAGCAGTTTTCTCTCTCCTGTCTCATGTTCCTTCACTGAGGTTCATGTTTCACTAAAGTCCTGCAGCTCTGAGGAACCAGAACCACATGAAGAAGGAGGAGAGAGAACTCAGAGATGTCTGCTGTCAGCAGGACTCAGAACGACACAAAGAGATTTTTTTTTTAAAAAGCAAGAAAAGATGCAAAAATGTCAAAAAGATGCAAAAATTACACCTAAAGATGTAAAAATGACACAAAAAGATTCAACAGTGACGCTGAAAGATGCAAAAGTGACAGTTAAGGACACAAAAATACCACAAAAAGTTATAAAAATGACACTAAAGGACCAAAAACTGACAGAAACTCAACAAACAGCTGACTGGTGATACGAAGCCGTTTCCATTAAATGTGAACGGAGAGAGAACTCAGAAATACAATAACACAGTTAGAATGAAAATACAAAATAAATGTGGAATTTCTTTGATTCTTTATTTTAGAACAAACGAAACAACCTCAGAATTCTTGTTACGTGGCATTCATCCATGTCGGCCTCCCAGGAGAGGAGGAGGGCAGAATGTTCAGGGTTTCTTTACATGTAGAATAAAGTGTTGGTTTGTGAGCAGTTCAGGGACTGTGGGAAAGCTGACGATTCAGTAACCGTGACTGTGACTCTGTCGTCCTCAGACCCGCCCGACTCCGCCTCACCTCACCTCGGCCATGGCTGAGAACATCCTGGCGGCCGCCTGCGAGAGCGAATCACGCAACGCCGCCAAGAGGATGCGCCTTGAAGCCTACCACGTGAGTGCTGGTGATTGTGTTTGTGTTTGTGTTGGTGTTTGTGTTGGTGTTTGTGTTGGTGATTGTGTTTGTGTTGGTGATTGTGTTTGTGATTGTGTTTGTGTTGGTGATTGTGTTGGTGTTGGTGTTTGTGTTGGTGTTTGTGTTTGTGTTGGTGTTGGTGATTGTGTTTGTGTTGGTGTTTGTGTTGTTGTTTGTGTTTGTGTTGGTGTTTGTGTTTGTGTTGGTGTTGGTGATTGTGTTTGTGTTTGTGTTGGTGTTGGTGTTTGTGTTTGTGTTGGTGATTGTGTTGGTGATTGTGTTGGTGTTTGTGTTTGTGTTTGTGCAGCTTCGTGTGTGAATGATTTACTCACGTTGAATGGTCGCTCATGCTCTGAATCCCTGAGCGGAACATGGAGCGTGTTGTTGACAGATGAGAACCAGCTCAGCGTTCTGATGCTTGTTTGATTCACTGATGCATGAAGCAGAAGTTAAACGTCGGCGCTGATTCACTGCAGACTGACTTGTTAGAGTTCATATAATTCATCTCATCAGGACCGATGTTTGACCCTCTGAACCCAAAACCTGCCACCAGCAGTTCTAAACATCGCGCTGTCTTTTAAAAATCAACTAATTTGCACCGTTTGTTAGAACCAGAACCTGTTTTCAGTCCAGAGGGTTTCAGTCCTTTCACCCTGTAACGTACCTGCAGCTGTCGGGTTAAAGTCAAAGTAGAAGGTAGCAGGACATTGAAATACCTCAGAGTACATGTACTCAGTTACTTCCTGCCACCGACTGACCCGTTTCCCCGCTGACCCGTTTCCCCGCTGACCCGTCTCCTCTGTGTCCTCCGTGTCCAGGATGAGCAGATCTCTCTGGACAAGCCGTCCGGCGGCGGCAGCGGCGGCGGTCTGAGGGAGCCGGCGTCGCTCGCCCACTCGGCCTACTCGCTGGCCGCCTCGGCCTTCTCCTCCCAGGACACCCAGCTCTACATCAACGGCGCCGGCCTCAGCTACGGTTACCGTGGATACCCGGGCCTGGGCGCCGCCATGCAACATCCCGTTTCCCTGACGACCGGCACCGCTGCTCAGAGCAACGGTGAGGACGGGGATGACGGAAACAGAATGAATGAATCCTGACGATGAATGAATGAATCCTGATGATGAATGAATGAATGAATCCTATCGGTGAATGAATGAATCTTGACGTGTAGTTTTATCATCACTCATCTTCAGGCTGGTCATTAGAAGCTCTATTCCTGAAACGGCTTCAGGACAAAGCAACAGGTCTGATTACAGGATGAAGGAAGCGAAGCATCACGTAACCTGCAGTCGTGTTCAGACGCCTGCAGGAATCAGAGCTAACGGCTAATTCTGCTGGTTTTAACCCTGAGTGAGAACAGGCATGAAACAGCATTAACGTCATCTAACGGGGCGTTTGTAGCTGTACGGGATTATTCAGTGGTGGTTTTACTGTTGTTCTGCCGGGTTTCTGTTTATTCTGATTCCAGGAGACTGTTTCACAAAGCGAGCTAAAAGAAGTTAGGATTAAAGTTCAAAAACCTGACTCGAATGAACCAAACGCATCAGTCAGGGCTAAATGTTCCATAAAGGTTGAGTTAGCCTGGAAGTCAGCGTGACAGTTAGCATGACAACTAGGCTGCTAGTTAGCCTCACAATTAGCCTGACAGTTAGCCTAACAGCGCAATAGTTAACCTGGCATTTAGTCTAACAGTTAACTTGACACTTGGCCTAATGGTTAGCATGACAGTTGTGCTGACAGTAAGCTTGACATTTAGCCTGACAGTTTTTTCTAATAGTTAGCTTGACTGCTAGTCCAACTGGTAGAAACAAAGCCAGACAGTCAGCCTGACAGTTAGCCTGATAGTTAGTCTGACAGTTAGCCTGATAGTTATTCTAACAGGTAGTCTGCCAGTCAGCCTGACAGTTAGCTTGACAGTTAATCTGACAGTTAGCCTCATAGTTAGTTTAAAAGTTAGTCGGACAGTTAGTCAAACAGTTAGCTTGGAAGCCTTCCAGTTAGTCTGACAGTTATTTTGCTAGTTAGCCTGAAAGTCAGTTTGATAATTAGCAAAATAGTTAGCTTAGCACTTATCCGGACACTTAGCCTGACAGTCTGACAGTTAGCTCTCAGGGCCCTGTGCTTTGGTGAGCTGGTAGTCAGACAAGGATCGATGGTAGACGGCGATGCTTCAGGTTCATGACCTCCATCATGGAAAAGGTTCTGGTGATATTTCAGTCCTGATCTTTGTCCCGTCCTCCTCTGTGTCCTCCTGCCTCCTGTACTTCCTCTTCAGGCCCCACAGACCTCAGCATGAAGTCCCTCTCCTCCGCCAACATCGCCAACTCCGCCGCCGCCGCCGCCGCCAACAGCCTGGGTGGGCGGGGCAGCGGCGGCGCCGGAGGGGGCGGGGCCTCCACCCAGCTCAGCCAACCGGAGATCACGGCCGTGCGCCAGCTGATCGCCGGCTACCGGGAGTCGGCCGCCTTCCTGCTGCGCTCGGCGGACGAGCTGGAGAACCTCATCCTGCAGCAGAACTGATTCTGGCGGGAAAAACACACACACTTAACACACACACACACACACACACACACACACTTCCTGTTCTGTTTATTTTGTCCACCACACCTCCTCTTGTTTTCGCTCCTTGAATCTGGGCGTTTCCCCTCCTCTGCCTTCTCTTCGGGAAACTTTTATTTTGAAGGAAGCGTGGAAACGGAGCGACTAATCCCTCGATCCACCGATTCTGCCTGAGGACAAATCTGAACGACCACAATGATTAGAAAAAAGGAAAAAAACAAAAAAAAAAAGGAGGAATCTTCTTCTTCTTCTTCTGCGGAAGCACCTCACAATCAGCGACGAAGACGAGGAGCGAAGACGACGGCGGGTTGTTGATTCTGCTGCTGTGGGTTCAGAAAAGAACATTTAAAATTTAAAAAAACAAAACTTTCTTTTTCCTGTGAAGCTCGGGGAGTTTTGAGCATCATCCTAACAAATTAAAAAATAGTAAATCCCACAGACTCCCTGAGTTCTCGCTACCGAGGCTGTTTGCTTGCTTTGAGATTTTCTCTTTTGTTTTTTTTGGGAGTCTGAATTTTGTTTGTTTGTTTGTTTGTTTGTTTTTTTGACTCTTCCCAAGTGACTGAAAGAAAGAAAAGCGGTTTGACTTATCTTGAAAAATAGCACTAAAAAGGAAAAGACTCTTGAGTCCGAACGGGGCCAAAATAAAAAAAATTTGTTTGGTTTAAAAAAAAAAAAAAAAAAGTAAAAAAAGTCGGAAAAAAGAACAAAAAAAGTTTTTTCTCGTGCTCGCTTGTAAATAAGCTCTCTGTGTCCCTATAGCACTTTTCCCTCCTCACCCGGCCCTCGCCCCATCGTCCTACCCAGGGAGCAACTTGTGCTACTTATGCATCCAAGACGCCATTTTGACCACCAGGAAATACCTCAGATCAGACCTGCCAACTCCCGCCCGTGGTGTTGTTTTCTTTTATTGTTTATTTTCTGTTGTCCTCAACAAACAAACACAACAACAACAAGCGAATGGTACCGCCTGAAGCCAGTTTACTTTTTAACCACCTGATGTCTTCAAGGGTTTTTCGGAGGAGAGAATCAAAAACAAAAACTTTTATTGCGCAAAAAGCGTTTGGGGAACGTTTTGTTTGCGGGTTTGTTGGTGAGCTGCTGGACGTGGAGCAGCTGACGGGAGCGAGGACCACTTTGACTAAAGGGGGGATTTCTTAACTTCAACTAACTCGTGGCAGTTTTACCTCCCGCTTCTACTTTTTACAGCCAACGAAACCTCAGCATCCTCTTTCTGTTGAACACCTCCTCCTCCTCCTCCTCCTCCTCCTCCTCCTTCTTCTCCACTGGACCTACTCTCTTCTTCATGGACCTAGACGTCCTCCTGTTTCCGAGGACCAGGAGGAGTTTTGCTCTGTCTTACTGTGTTTGTCTGTTTAAACTCTAAAATGGCCATTATTGTTCTTATTATGATTATTATGATTATTATTATTATTACTATGATTCTAATGATGAACTCTCATGTTGCTGCTGCTATTCAAAAAAAAAAAAACAAAAAAAAAAAACAACCGGACCTTCTGCCATAGACCTGAAACCTCAACGAAGCCGGGCGCTAGCCGACCGACCGACCGACTGACCGGAAGACCTCCGACTGCAACGAAACTGAATCAAGTTTAGTGAAATCTACCTTTTCTCTCCGTCACGCTGGTTGGTTGGTTTTTCTCGTTTTTTCGCTTCATAGGGCTCGATTCATGTTGTGTTTTTGTGACTTTCTAACTGTGAATCCTTCTTTTCGTTTCGATTCTTCCCACGTTCGGGGGGCGCTGGGAGGCCGACACACTTTAACCTCTCACAGAGGCCAAACTAGTCCAGTGTGGAATACATTTAGAAATGACTTATGGGGGCGGGAAAAAGGAGGCGACTCGAAACTGTGTGCAGATCAAATCCTGTCGGGTTGAAGGTGGTTCCTGCTAAGCTAGCAGGTGCTAGCTACTGGACACCGGATTACATCTGCAGCCTCTGGTGTTCAATACAAACCCAGAGGTTTGGGGACATATTGGGAAATTTGCTTATTTTAAAGCTGGAG